GGAGCACGGGGCACACAGACAGACAGACAGACAGAGGCACAGGGCACATAGACAGACGGACACAGATGGACAGACAGACAGCCGCAGGGCACACAGGCAGACAGCCACAGACGGACAGACAGAGGTCCAGGGCACACAGGCAGACAGACAGCCAGAGGCACAGGGCTTTCCCCTCACGCCCCAACCCCGCAGAGCGACGCGTTTCCCGCTGTACCTCTCCCTAGCGTTTCTCACAGAAGCAAACTTTGTCACTTTTAAGTTGACAGGCGGCGTTGGACTGTCGTGACAGAGAACAGAGCGCTGAGCGCTTCCATAACATGGCAGGTAAGGGCAAACAAATGCTGTTTGCTTCTAGCCTGGTATCCGTCATGTTTAGTTGGGGTCCCAAGGAATTACTTCTTAAAATCGGCCTTTGAGAACTCCCAGCGCCAGGTGCCCTCAGCTCCACAGAAATGGAAACAAACCAGCAGGTTGTAGAAATAATCTCAGCGCAGCAAAATAATCGGTGAAATGGAAACAAACCAACAGGTTGCAGAAATAATCTCAGCGCAGCAAAATAATCGGTGAACGGGTGTTGCCGCCAGCTGATGAACTACCTGTTTGCTGAGAGCAGGAACTGCTCTTGACTTATTCCAGAATAAGTTAAGGAGCAGGGGTTTAAATAGTTGATACATGTGTCACATTTACACATTTATGATGGCACCTGACCATAGATTTTAACAGCCTTTTTGGCAAAGCTGCTGTTTCACGCACATGGGAGATATAACCACCCCTTTTAATTTAGGTTCAAAATAAGGTATGGTTTCTTCAAGCCTTCTGCGCAGGTTCTATCAATTATCCCTGACACCTTAAACTTAACCTGTCACCCTGATGGTGCTCTGACGTTGGCTGTGCTGGTGCAGGGCTATGGAAGTGCACCCACTGACCACCAAGTCCCGCCCAGGAAAGCTCAGTGTAACACAAAATTATGGGTGGGGGCATTTACTGATTAGTTGCTTGGGAGTCATTTGTAACTGCCGCACGGATGTCAAATGTTGCCATCATCATCCTGTTTTCACTAGTTCTTTGCTGCTTGGAAAACATAGTTGCTTGGGAGTCATTTGTAACTGCCGCACGGATGTCAAATGTTGCCATCATCATCCTGTTTTCACTGTGTGGAAAACACACCAGAGTAAAGCAAAGGACTGGCTCCACAAACTTCCGTATCTGCCTCCTATACTCAAGGGTATCTTTGGGTTTCTTTCTGCCTCCAGGGAAAAAAGTCCTGATAGTCTATGCACATCAAGAGCCCAAATCCTTCAACGGATCTTTGAAGAGGGTTGCTGTGGAAGAACTGAGCAAGCAGGGCTGCAGTGTCACGGTGTCTGATCTGTATGCAATGCAGTTCGAGCCAAGAGCAACAAGAAATGACATTGTTGGTGAGACTGGGCAAAATACACTTTTTTTCAAGAATTAACGATGAAACAAACTTTCACCTTGTCTATGCTGCTGCATTAGCAATCCAGAACCATGCTGTTAGGTACAGTCCAAAAATAGTTGCTCTTATTTTTACAAACATCCTGCAACTAACAAGACCTAGCTTTTTATCTTCTATTAGCATTGACTAAGAAATGCTAGTGTTGTAGGAACCCGGGAAATGTCATCTTTATTTAAATAAATGTGATCCCTAGAAACGGCCCCTCAGTCAGAAAAATCAATTTGTAAAACAGTATTTGCCTTTAAAGAGAGTGAGGGAAAATGCTTATTTTTTACAGTATTTACAATCAACTGGAAACACGTTCTAAGAACCACCTTCTCCTAATCAACAGGATTACAAATGCTTTCTGCAAGTTAGCTCCAGGCATTTAAGTGCTTGTGTTTTTGAGTTGTCTTGGCACCTCCCAAGTACTTTGAAACTACATGATTACAAAAAATTACTAGATGATGCAGTTAAGACTCAAGAAAAACAGTAATGCTCTTCTTAGGCTTATGTGGTATTTTCACTGTGCTCTTACTAGTGTTTAGCTCCAGGATTTTCCGAGCTTAGGTGACACAAAGCCATTACATAATCTGCAACAGCTGAAGCTCTTTTTAAAACAAACATCAAAAAGAAATAGCACAGGTCCAGTGCCACTATTGGCAAAAACAAGAGGAAACTTGTTAATGACCACATAGGAGTCCACTCAGCTTCTAAAAGTCCAGTCCTGATTATGAACCTTGGCTCCGTGACATCACAGTGAGGAAATATTGAATTAACATATGTCCACAATCAAAGTCCATTTCTTGTGGGTGAGAAATGCCTTCGGATACCGCTCTGTGACTTGCCAGAGTTTATGAAGCTACTGCCTCTCTCTTCTGCTCAAGATTGATGATCTGCTAGCTGAATGAGCAGAATGGAATTCTGTGTCCAATTCAGACATACTTGAGTCAGTTCAGCCAACTGCAATGGAGACAGCCGAGCTGGCCAGTAGTGGTTACCCAGCCCCTGCTGAGTTTCTCAGTTGGAGAGGCTGAAAAGCGGCTACACAGGGCTTGTGACTGCGTGGTGGTTTCAGTAATCCCTAATACAGAGGCAGAGCAATTAGGAAAAATCTCTTAAATCCTCTTAAAACATCCACCTGCATCACCAGAGTCTAGAGCCAGGCTGAGGTCCTTTTATTACGCTTCATATGTTGCTACAGAAAGGCAAAATTTCTATTACTCTGAGACACTACACCCTCTCCAGTTTAAAATCGAATCACTGCCAGCTGTGATGATGCTGAACATCCACTCCAAAAAAAAAAAAAGTAGGGGAAAAGCAGTGGCAGAAGAGCAGTTACTCAGTTTAGAACTGTAGATTGCAACATGTATTTAACTCTGATATGGCTGTGATGCTGGAAACAGGGCAAGGAATGACTCTTCATTTCTACCCACAGGTTGCTTGCACAACTCAGAAGAGTTCAGTTATGCTGTGGAGACATGGAAAGCTTACATGAGAGGAGGTTTGTCCAGTGATCTGACTGAAGAGCAAAAGAAGGTGCAGGAAGCGGACTTGCTTATTTTTCAGGTCATTATTTTAAATTGTATGAAAAAAGACTTCAGTTGTAATATACGGGCTTGAACAAAAGAAAAGCACTAGTGAGAAGATTATACATTTCAGTAGGAACATTGAACCTAGCCAAAGTAAGAAGAGGTAGTAACTCTGCCATCAAGTTAAAACAGTCTGTATCCAGTACAGCAATTTCAAGGTGTCAGTTTTTTCTGATATGATGTGGAGTTTAGAAAATACCAAAAATACCAGGTATGTGTGAGCATTATTCATGCTAGCACAGTGTTTTTGTCACACATAATGGCTCCACACTGGCATTGTTTGGGAGTAGGGAGACAGCTGAAATTAGACCCTCAAAATACCAAAGTAAAATGCAATGTAAGCGTTTCACTTAAAAATTAACATTCAAAAGTAGTCTGATTGCAGATGTTTTGTGAAAGCTCGTCCTCACGCTACCTGCACTCCAAAACGATTGCATTGAGCAACTCTGACCAGAAAGTACCGAGTGCAAAATAACGCTACAATTCTCAATATGAGAACCGTGTCATGTTATCAGGCAGCCCAAAGCTACTCCTTTGTCTTGGAGGGAATGCAGAGCAAACACAGATCTACACACAGAGATGTGTGCAAGTGCTTAAGGCTTTGGGATATGGTAACACATACCAGACGGGCAGCTTTAGGAGTAAACACTTTAAGTAACGGAACAGTAACAACCACAGATCAGTAGTAAAATTAACCAGGTCACTGCAACAGCAAATCCAGTAATTCAGCAACACTTGACCACACTTCCTATCTGGATGCACAAAGACATACATGACCACAGTTATCAGGCAGAAATCGGGGCAAGACTTATTTTCCAAGAGAGCAGCTGGGTGCAACCAGCGGGATCGGAGAATTTGGATTTGGAAAAAATTTTCCTGTGAGGGTGCCAGAGCCCTGGCACAGGCTGCCCAGGGAGGGTGTGGAGTCTCCTTCTCTGGAGACATTCAAAACCCACCTGGATGCGTTCCCGTGTGACCTACTGTAGGGGATCCTGCTCTGGCAGGGGGGCTGGACTAGATGATCTTTGGAGGTCCCTTCCAACCCCTGACATTCTGGGATTCTGTGATTTCCCTGACCAGACCATCCTCATTTATTGCTGAGTTGCAGCAGCATTATCTGGACGTGCTAATGGGTCATTACGCCCCATCTCTGCTCACCCCTGCGCCAGCTCTGTCCTCGGTGGCCACACGTGCCAGAAGTACTGTGTAAGACAATACTAGTCCCACATTTCTTGTGTGCCTGTGTGACTGCTGGCCGTAGGCAGAGCCTATATATATTACACTATCTGATTCTAGACGAAATTTAGGATGTGACCATATCTCAGTTAAGCATCTCACTCTAAGTCTTCATAATTTTTACACAATAGCATCTGAGATAAGTATAGTAAAACATCCCCCGAAGGGAGGGATTGCTTTCTACTTTCTCTCTGTAGAATGCTATGAAGTCAAATATGTTCTGGTGCAGGAAAAAAAAAAAAAGGGAAAGAACAGAGAAAAAGCCTCTCAAAGACACCATAAATTTAATATTAACTGCAGACCGAGCTCACCACTTCCAAAGATAATGGTGATTGCCCAGTTTCCACGTTGTTTCCATCTTGAATTAAGGCACATGTGGATGAGCTTTTACAGAATTTCTTCTTCCTTAGTGCAGCGTTTACAACGGTATAGTGATAGTGATGCATCCTAGATTAGGAGTCCATAAAACATTCAAGATAATGCAAATAAGACACAATAGGTTTAGGCTATAGAGAATAGGATTTGGCCTGTAGACCAGGTGTAAGGGTGGCCCAGACTCTGTGCTAACAGGTTAATTTAATTTTTGCCTAGTTTCCCTTGTATTGGTTCAGCATGCCAGCAATCATGAAGGGCTGGATGGACAGAGTCTTGATCCAAGGATTTGCTTACGATTTGCCAAAGACTTACAATTCTGGTTTGCTCAAGGTATGTGTTTGAGATTGTTTTATTAATATCTGCACCATGCTCTTGAGGGCATTTCTTTTCTGTTAACATTTGTTTGAAGCTCTCGTTTTATGCACTCCTGAAATAATGCTTTGGTAACACGTTGAGTAACTTGGTGGCTTGTTAAAAGGTCTGAAAGGTGGGACAATAAGGAGAATGCAACAGTTCCTAAAGATTTAAACCATCTCCTAGAGATTTTCAGTTGGCCCTCAGAATGAGCTTTATAATTTTGTAGGTGTGTCAGAGTGCACTGGGATCCATACAGCTTGCAAGCAGTTAAAATCCATCCATTTCCTAAAACTCTAGTCTGCCATTTCTTCCCACCACCACAGGACTGCACAAATCTGTAATGAGTGACATTCTAGAATAGGTGACAAGATCCTGTTCTGGGATTAAATGTCAAAGGTTGGAATTAATCTATAGAACTTAATCAGAAACCTGAAATGCCCAGTTCACAAGCTTCTGTCCCAGCTATCTCCTTTTCAACCTTGACTTCTCAGTAGCTTATAAATTAAGCAAGATCAGTATCTCTAAATGAGAATTCCTGGGTTTTTTTGTTGTCCACAGCACTAGGAATACCCCTGGAAAATTTTGGCTCACTGTTTGTTGGATCTTACTGAGTAACAACTGGCACATCCAGAAACAATCAATATTAGTTTCACATTTACATTCACTGCATATTAATCTCTGTAACTGCTGATCTTCTTAACAATCCCAAACATTTCAGTATGTGTGAATTTCAGAAATGACTGCCACACTGAAACGAATAGGAGCAACCCCCAGTGATCATAGCTGCACGCTCAGGGGGGACCGCAGCATTTAATTTCTACGCTCGGGAAGGACACAAATAAAGATATTCTCAGTCACACAGTGCTTTCCAGCCATCACATGGGGGAAAACAAGGGTCAGCCCTGCCTCACACAAGACTGTCAGACATGTAATTCCTTTACTTTTTAACCTGCCCCTGCCCAAAGCCCTGACACATGGTTCCCTCTCTAGTTGTACATCATCACTGTTTGCCTCAGAGCTGCTGCTACACGGAAGGTCTGGGAAAGAAGACACAATCTCCTCTAGAAATTTGTGCTGTCCAGGTTCCCCTCAATCTCTCTTGAACTATTCAGCCATTCTTCTTTAAACATGCCTGACTTAAGCATTGCTTTCTTAATTCTAGAACAAATTAGCCCTGTTTTCTTTCACCACTGGCGGAAGCAAAGCGTCGTATGGAAAAGAAAGCATCAGTGGCGATATTCGCTATATCCTGTGGCCTATGCAGGTATAATATATGGATATTTGGTGGCTGTTTGCCTTAATTTTTATTATTCCAGTTATTTTTAACAGTTGTATTATTGTTTATTTTATATAAAATATAATAAGAAATACTTAAGTTGTCAGTTCTAAGCATCTGCAGGTTACAAACCGGGCCCTTTAAAAGACTACTTTAAAAGTTCACAAGAGTTTTAAAGTTGTTTTGTGCTCCTTCTGCTAGACTAGAATCTGGAGAAAGGGTGTACTCTCAGCCTTCTGTTTCTCTGGTGTTACAGGGTTTCCTTCAGGCCTAGCGTGCAGGATTTCTTTTTCCCCATAGCTACGTGATTCACGGTTGGATGCAGGGCAGGAGGGGAGTCAGACATTCTCATGTCACTAATGATCAGCATACCAAAGTTAGCATGCCTTTTCTGCCTTCTTATCGGAAGTAGCAAGCACGCTTGGAGAAATTTGGGTGGTGAGGCAAATTGGGCAAGCTACTTCTTGACTATAATACAAAAGGGACCTGCTTAAATTCTTTGGTCACATTCCTGTTGCGTTTACGAGCTGTCCACCCTTGCGAGGTTGGCTGGCTGCAGAGCTTGCAAGTCAACGTGACAAAAATCGTGAAACACAACGGTGAATTCAGAAATACAGAAGGAAGAATGGCTAGCTGAGCCGATCTGAAAGGCAACACCCTTCATTCAGGATCATTTGTCTAAGCTAAAGGCAAAAGGTTAAAAACATACTTAGAAGTAGATGAGAAACAGGCTGCAGATCAGGAGATTCAAACAGTGCAATGAACTTAAGGGAGTCTCCGATCCTTGCGAATTTCATAGCATACAGCAGCCAAGAGAACAGTTCTGTGGCTTTAATAGCACTAAATAATAAATTCCACAGAGCAGAATAAATGAAGTTGACCTTGCTTTTCAGTGTATTGTGTGTCATTCTGCTTAATGCCTGGCTTTCAGTAGCAACTGCCAGGATAGGTAATGAACTTTTGCAATTTATTTCCTTTCTCTTGATAAATGCACAGCTTTAGAAAACATGCCTTGTATTGGGTCAGAGAAGTAGTTTCAGATTGAATTTTCCATATTCTTGAATGAAAGTGAGAAGACTATTTCCTGAGGCATTTCTTTCTTTGCTTTGAGTCCAGCATGGAATCATGCACTTCTGTGGTGTCAAAGTCCTCGCACCTCACATCTGCTTTGCTCCAAAGGCTGCCTCTGAGGAGGAAAGGAAGGAGATGCTGGTGGCCTGGGCCCAGCGTCTGAAGACTCTTTGGAAGGAAGAACCCATAAACTGCTCTGCTGAGTGGTATTTCAAGTAACGTTCACGTACAAGACTACAGAAAGATTTTTCTTCCCTCCGTTCTTTTTGGTACTTTACCTCAATATCTGAATGTGAGTGTCCTAATTCAAATGTATTGCAAGTACCTGGAGTCCTACAGCTAGCAGCTTAACTGACAATATAGCATTTATCTTCATTTATTCCTGAGGGATTCTGCTCAATGATGATTGCAAAACTCTTAGTGAAGAATTATCCTTGCTCATATAAACAGTGACACCCTGCCTACAAGTGGTTGGTAACACAAGCAGTATTTAATTGCAGATCATATCACTGCTGCTTATTAAACAGTACAGTACATTGCCACATTTATTTTAACACCTTTTTGTACCAGCTACCACTTTTTTTTCTATTTGCCAGGGAATATGTTGCCCATACTCAACCTCGTTATGGCCAATCCTGTTCTTTTAAGTGAAAGCTCTACACATGTGCCTTTGAGCTATGAAGCCTGATCAGGAATAATGGAAAGAGACAGTTGCACAGTGACTTAGTGAGCTGGGAAGCCTTGTGGACAGCCTCAGGCTCTTCCACATATTTACAAAGAAATACTAGAGCTGTGACAGATAACAGAAAAGGAAAAAAAACCCTAATACAAATTTCATATAGCAGTATGTGCACGTATTGCTTTTCTTTATGAAACGTAGCTCCCATTTGTGAAGTATGTGGCTTCCTAAAATCAAAGGGAGTTCTCTATTTTTGTTACCCTAAATAGAAGCCAGAAGGAATCCTGTCTGTTCTCTGCCCCTTCACGCCAGGCAGAGTTGCTGTTTGGGTCTGGAGAGCTGGGTGCATCCCCCCCCGGCGTCAGGGGAAGTGGGCCTGCCCCGAAACCCGTGGGAGCGCTCTCTGTCTATGACCCAGGGTCTAGTGGGACAAAATTACTTCCTGGCTCTTAACATCAGCAACTTTTACTGTCAATTTTAGCAGGATTATTTTTGTACTTGAGAGCTGTTACCCCTTTTTTGTGCAGGTGGCAAAAGGTGGGTTTCTTGCTTAGCTACACAATTCCTTGCTTCAGTCGGCTTACCTAACAGCTGGCTTTGCACTTTGATATTAAAAGAATGTGGCCTGAATAAGAAACGTTTCTCCGAGTCTCTGTCAAATGACACTTAGGCCTCTGCCTACCTCGTTCATCTGCCATGCATTCTTTTAGCAGCCTTGCCATGCCCCACCCTTACATTCCTTTAAGGGCTGTTTGGATAATAAACATACCATAAGCTGATACACCACACTACGAACTGCAGGGAGAGAGTCTCATGCTCCTGTTCCTCCTTGTATGGAGTGAAAGGGCCACCTCTAGCAGAGCCACACCCCGGGGAGCAGTGCTGCCCAAAGATGTTGCAGATGTTTGCTTTAGGGTGTATGAGCCAAAGTCTTCAGGTTACACAAGGAAGAGATTTGCTTTGACTCAGTCACTCTTGTACAGGAAGAAGAAAGTGAAACGGAGAACATTACAGACATAAGCTGTGGGCAAAGCAGATTCTTCCTTAAAAGACTTAAGGAAAACAAAGTTACCTGAAGAGAGGCTGAAGGACAAATGCAAGTATTAAAAATGTATAGGAGAGGAATCATCCTTATGTTCATCGTGTTGTTACCAGACTAGTCAAGAAAGAAGGAAATGGATATGAAAGCAGAAGTTGCAACTGTCAAACCAAGTGTTAGCATTGGATAAATCGCAGAGCTTAGTGGGTTTAACCATTAGATGAAGAATCTCAGACTGACCTAAATGATGAAGATACACTTCTCGACACTCTTTGGCAGACATGTACGAGCTCCCATAGACACAGAGGCAATAAGTGCCCATATTAGACTGGATATTTGTAATGTAAGTATACAAGTGGGGCTGTGCTAGGTTAGAACAAGCATCCTTCAACACCAAGTTTTTACTTCACAGTGGTTAGAGACCCAGTAAAGCAAGCACTTCCCCTCAATACTGTCCTGCGTGCCAACTATATTTAGTTTGGGGGATTTCCTGAGCTATACGCATTTTCTATGTATTTACCAAACCAAATAGATCTCTGCTCTGAATTTTCTTTAGCCATCTCTTGAATTCATGCCAGCCTGAAAGCAGCCAATATTTTTTGACAAAGTTCAGTGGGACAGCTTTTTCCTTGCATGAAGCTAATACAAGAGTATTGGCCTTTGGTCACTCTTGTTGCTCTTCTCTCAACTCCTCCAATCTCACTATCCTGAGAAGAGGGGGCAAGAAGTGCACACAGAATCAACTGTAACTCCTGGATTCATATGACTTCCTCTATTCCTTTCCTAATATTCCTTTCCTAATCTCTGACATACAGTTGTTTTCATCTGTTCCAACCCTGGATCTTGGCCATCAGTAGTAATGGTCAGCTCAGGGGCCATTATTTTATACAGCAATTTAGGGTATTTTTTTTCTTCGTGTGCACCCCTTTACATAACTTGAATTTCACTTCCTGTCTCACTACCCAGTCACTCAACCATTTTTCCTTTCTGTTTCATCAGCAAACTTTCTCAACCTCGTTGCTCGTATCCTCTTCCAGGTCATTTTCCACAGCTCAGATCCCTGCACTTGTAACCTCCCTCTGTTCTGAAAGCTGACCATTTACTGTTGCCTCTTTGTCCTATCTTTTAAACATGTCTCCATGCCGTGACCTTTCTCAGCCTGCTTAGTTTCCTTAAAAATAAATTTATATGAAACTGTCAAAAGCCTCTTGAAAATGCAAGTAGATTGTATCAGCCAGATCACCATTCTCCACATGCTTTAACTCCTAATGTAACTTCTTCAGGAATATCATCCCGATTTGAAAGCCACTGTACTATGGAGTATATGATGAGGAGAGGGGAAAAAGTGAGAACCGCTAGTCGATGGTTTATTTCCTGCAGTCAGTCTCAGTTCTTGCCTGTGTAATCTGTTCTCATAAAGGAACTGCTCTATGTGCCTCATAATTCTTGTCACTTTATTTCAAGTCTACTTCTCCTGTATCAGTTCAGAGAAGAGGCAATCAGCTGTATCTCAGCTGTGGACACAGAAGAGATCAAACCACATTTGCTGAAGGGCACTAGTCTAGCAACAGCTGTCAAGATATTATGTTGTACATCTGATTTCACAGAAAGGAGTTGTGATTTTAGCTAGCTTTGGCTCATAGAATCATTAAGGTTGGAAAAGACCTCTAAAGATCAAGTCCAAATGCCAACCCCCCCTGACAAAACCATGTCCCAAAGTACCATGTCTCCGTGTTTTTTGAACGCCTTCAGGGACGGTGACTCCACTGTTGCCCCGGGCAGCCTGTTGCAGTGCCTCACCACTCTT